GGTTGTCGGGAGGTTTTCCCTTGTAATTCTCTAAGGGAGGGATTTGTGATTTGTTCCTCTCCGAAGGTGTGTTGTGAGGATAGCTTAAACTAGTCTGCTAAAGTTTCCAAGGATACTCGAGGTTCGTGTCAAGTCCACTCATAAAGGCACTTTTTAATGAGTTTATTGAACAAAGATCTCAAAAAAGTAAGAAACAATTTATTTTTACTTTCAACCCTAAAAGGCCAATCTCTAGTTTTTGTTAAAGGATCTCTTGGGGTGTTCCTTGAAAAAAATGTTCTACCAGATGTTAGAACATCATATCACCAAGTTGTGTAGGACTCTGTTGGATAAACAAATGGCATTGCAGATGCTTTAGGTGCTAAACAAATGTGCATTGATCACATATGTTTGGAACCTTCTCCTGAACTGGAAGATAAGGCATCTTGGTTGTGTGTCTAAGAAGGTTTTATTCTAAAAACAAGTCTTAGATATGTGTGTTGGTCAAGATTTGATCACCGTCTTATTGGGTCAGTATTTCTGATCAAAGGATGTAGGAGTGCAGAAGCTTTGACATCTTTATGTTGAGAATTTACTTTTCTCAATATGTTTGGGTAGTGTTTCTCTTAAACAGGATGAAGGTTGTTTACTCTAACTTGATATCTCTCATCAAGTCTATGGGAACATGGAACTCTTATTGTACTGAAGTAAAAGAGACATTAAAGGGGTCGTATGCAATGGAGGTGTGTCAACCTGAGTTAAGGGAGATTAACTCTGAGTTGTGGTATGTATCATTCAAGTGGTTGATTGTTGTTTGTGTGTTTGAAGTATTCTTCCAATTGTGAAGAGGACAGCATTATCTATTGTTAAAGTTTAAGGAAATGTTTCTCTGGTAAAGGTATGCATCTGATTGATGGAAAATACTCTATCGGGAGCTGTGTATTTGTCTGATGTGTTGATGCAGAAAGTATATGAGAATATATTTCCTGGTGTGTCTCGATTTAGGCTCTAGGTTGATCAGCTGATGATGAGTAGCGGTATGGTTCTCTTGTGTTCTTTTCAAGAGGTGTGGATGGGTTACTATGGGTATTGTCTTCAGAACCATAGTATTTGGTGAAACCCATTGGTGTCTGAATTGATTTTCCACTTTAGAAAAGAAACCAGTGAAGGAAGGATTGTGTGGATATGTTTCTCAGATAAAGGGGTGAAACTGATAGCAAATACCCTGACGGGAGTTGTGTATTTGTTTGTTATGTTGGTGAAAATCTACAATCTGGACTCTATATTTTAAAAATGTCTGAGAGTTTATTTCTCTTCTTGGTTCTCTGATGTGTGTTAGCTGCTGAAGTTGTGCAAGGATCTCTGTGTTGGAGATTCTTCTAAGTTGTGTCAAATGACCATAGTTGTTTGCGTGCTAAATGGAAGCTTTGTTCAAACATGGATCAAGGAATATGTGTAAGTTTATCTTCAAAAGGTGATGCATCTAATGGTATGAAGGATTGTGCAAAAGTCTAAAGGACATGACTGAAGGATGAGATGTTTCATTTTGTGCCTCATTGCTAATAGAAACTACAATTTCTGTATTAACATTATGGCTCTGGTGAAAAGATCATGAAAAGTATTGGAGTTTATTTCTTTTGGTGGTCTTGTATCTATTTTTATGGCTCTTGTGATCATGTTGTGGCACATGTGAAATATGTGCAAATGTTGTTGGAATGTTGCAACATCATGCTTATTTGGAAGATGAACTGACATTCATCTATTGGTTCTGAAGTGCTTCATGCAGTCACGATAATGAATGACGTTCTATAAGATGTTATGACATCTTCCCTTATGTGTGAACTTGAGAAACTCATAGTTGTCTATTACTGTAAAGTTTCTTATATCTCAAGTTTTCCTATTGAGGAGGAGAAATAATTCTAAAAAGCAAGGGATCATGGTTGAAGACAACTAGTACAGGAGATTCATTTTATATGAAGGATTATCTTCACAAGAGTATGATTGTGTTCAACTGGGAAAGCTTGATGAAAGCTTGAGTCCTAGTCAATCTTGTGAAATATGGCTTACCTCTGGTGAGGTTAGAATGCCAGACAAATGTCGTGACATATTTATACTATCTCACCTAACAAGCAAGCAATGATCCGAGAAGCCTAAGCCCTAATGCATACTTCATATAATCAATAAACTAGCATGAATGTGTAACACACAAAACACTAATGTTCCCCTAAGGTTCATGCATAAGTGGTTCTACCATAAGGCATTACAAACCAAGTCAAAAGCAATCAACAATTTCACTAACACCAAAGGCTTAGAGTGTAAAGATAACATCAATGCTTAACATACAAAGATGATATGACTTAGGAAAGATGGAGGATTAACCAAGGCATCAAGTACACATTTTAAAGCTCACATAGACATCTCCTAAAGATAAAGAAATAATGCTAAAGAAACATGCAAGGGAAGGCTAAATAAGCTATACAAATGATCAAAACTAGTTCCTAGAAACTATATCACTAAAGATTATAGCCTTAAAGATCACTTATGGCAAAAATACAAATCTATGTTCAAGCAAGAATCAAGTTAGAAGGCATGGCTTAAATTTTCCAAGAATCACATGGCATCACATATCAACAAAGTTTAAACAACTAATCAATTCAAGTACTGAAGGAGAAACATGTTTTCAAACATTATGAAGTGATCAAAACTTGGGAGGAAAGTAAGTTTTAAGTGAAAAAAGGTATAGAACATCACAAGTTAGTATCAAACCCATAATTATTGATCTCAAACAAAACTTACAATAAAGATTGTCATTAAAGCAAATTATGTGCCAAGATTATGTCAAAACAATCTATTGACAACTTAGGGGTCAAACATCATGCTACACTAAGCATATGACTCAATTATGGACTCGTCATCAAGGTAAAAGCTACCTAAACATTTTAACATGTTAATTAAGAAGTCAATTGAGCATATTAGTAAAGCATTAGGAATCATACACAAAGGATCAACTCCTAACTAAGTAAACAAGTAGCTAATTATTCATTTTTGTGTGACCACAAAAGAAAAATTCAAACAAAGATCTAAAGAGACCTCAAAAATAATGACATTAACACACAAGGAATGTTATTATGTACACTATCATGTCATAAAAAAATCCCTAATCTATTGCATAAATGCAAACTTCAAAATCAAACAATTACACAAATATGTGTTTCCAATTAGGAATGCATCTAGGCATCACAAAACATGTATAAAGATGATTAAGAATCCATCAAAATAACACCAAAATAACAAGTAAACCATGAGAAATCATATATTTGAACATTGTAAAAAATTTGGTGCAAAATGGACTTGTACAAGCCATCACACAAAAGTTACAAGTCAAAGACATTTAACAAACAATGCTTCACTAATTTTCAATCAACCATTTATAAATGAAAAAAATTAATAAAAGTAGTCACAAAATATTGTGGACTACCAAATACCAAAAATATATTTTTGGGGGTTTTTATTGTCAAGGAAAATACCAATTATAAATTGAAATGTAAAAGGTATTAGAAAAATAATCAAACAGATATTGGGGGTGTAAACCCAAAAAACAGTCATAGCTGGAATCATCTTACACGCCAAAAAGGCCCAAATACTGGGGGTGCAAAAAAGAGACAGCCCTAACTCAAGACAAAGTGTATCACATTGTTACTGGCAGAATTAGAGGTGCGAATTAAAAAGGACCTAAGCCCATAGCAAAAGTGCACGCCTGGAGCCTATTATACCACAAATCTCCTTATTTCATTTTTGTTATTATTTCATTCAGTGTGACAAGTAAAGCACATGTAACGTTTATCTAGTGGTCCACTTATAATTTAAGTTACAAAATGACAAAAAAGATTCAGAACCAATCACTATTTTCCACCTTTTTTCTACAATTATCCAAACAATTAAAAAAAATAAGCAAATCATGAAATGAATTAAAAGCTGATTGGATAATGTATAAATTTTCCATCCACTCACAGGCTGCCACACCCAGGGTTAGGGCATTGGTATTGAACAAATAATGACGTCGGAGTCAAGCTCCAGTCGTCTTCCCCGACGGCTTCTCGCCGGAATCAGACAAACGTTAACCAAAATGAATCAATCTTATGTTATCAGGATCGTTTCCACACGTTGATCAAGAATATAACATTTATTTTCATCAAATCATACTAAAAGCACACGAAAAATCCAAGATTAAACAAGATATGAGAATACAAAATCTCACACATTCAGATCTTCAAGAAAACATTGCGTCTAACGCTAGCCTATGCTTATGCAAAGCTAAAAAATGCAATGAATGGTGCTATCATGGTGAACCTAACATGCTAAGAAAGAGATCTTGAGAACTTACTTGTTTGAAGAATGTACAAATGAGAAATTCTTCAGGAAAACTCTACTTGCTTGCCTCTACGATCTTGATGATGGAGAAAGCAATAAAAGAAGCTCTAAATCTCTGAGAAATAAACTCAGAGATTGCTTGGATCTTGAGAATTAAGGTTAAGTATGAACGTGGTTGAGCTTGCTTCAATGGACAGTTGAATTAAGTATGAGATTCTCCTTGCTATGGAGAAGAAGAAGAAGAAGAAGAAGAAGAAAATAACTCTGCAAAATAGCATCAATCTCAGAGAATTTGTTATGACTCAAGGGAGAATTGGGCTCACAAGTGACAGGCCCAAAAGAACAATTAGACAGCCTGTCAAGTTCAAGGATTTTGCCATGAGAAAATGAGGTCATCTAGAAGGTTGGTAGTATTAGTTCCTTGTAGTGGGTCGTTTACATGTCATCACAGAATAATCATTAGATTTGCAGTTTGTTAGGATTCTGATTTCCTATTTATGCATTGTACTTTTCCTCGTTTGAGGCATCAATGAAATAAAACTATTTCCTCATTTTTCTTCTTAGGAGGCCCTTAGTCCTCGAAATCTAAGGAAAATACCATTACTTAACATTGGTTCTCTCATTGAGAGATTCTCCCTTCCACCAGTAACATGGCCGGAACGCATGCTACCTCTGCAAATGAGCGCATTGATGAGCTTGCTCAACAAATGTCCATTGTCCTTTCTCGTCTGGATGATATAGGTCACCAGTTAGATGAAACTACTCTGAATACCGTGCATTCACCATCACTATCAATGACGGACAACAACCATCGGCCACGGCTGAAGCTGGACGTTCCCCGTTTCAACGGTGGTGACACCCATGGTTGGATCTTCAAGATCTCACAGTTTTTCACTTACCACCAAACACAGGAGGAAGACCGCATCACCATAGCTTCATTCTATCTCGATGGACCAGCCTTATCCTAGTACCAATGGATGTATCGTAATTCCCAAATCATTTCATTGAATCAATTCCTCATAGCGCTTAAAACTCGGTTTGCTCCTACTACGTATGATGACCCACGTGGTAACCTCTTCAAGCTTACCCAAACCGGATCTATTGTTAAATATCTTACTGAGTTTGAAGCCATAGCTAATAGAATTGTGGGGTTGTCACCTATGGATCTACTTAGTTGTTTTGTTTCGGGTCTTAAGACAGAAATCAAAAGGGAGGTGTTAGCTCAACAACCCAGCTCGATGAGGCAGGCATCAGGGTTGGCTCGTCTCCACGAAGAGAAGTTCAACGATCAAACCAAGATTTCGCGACCAAAGACGTTCCATAACAACTACCAAACACAGTCGAGGCTAAATCTAGTTCCTCTATGAACAGTACCGGGGTTGCTACCAACACCCCTACAAAAACCTCGATTCCGTCATTTATTAGAACCCGAATTAGCAGAGAAGCGAGAAAAGGGGATTTGCTTCAACTGTGATCAGAAATGGTCGCGACAACACCGTTGTAGCGGAAAGGTGTTCTTGATGGTGGCTGAGCATGCCGAAGACGAAGGAGATGCAGAACAAATAGAAATGATAAATGATATGGAAACCCCTCTAGAAGAATCGCGGTCGGCCCAGCTGAGTTTACATGCTCTTGCTGGGTCACAAGTCACCGATACTTTTCGGGTATTAGGTCGGATTCTGGAAAACCTGGTCCGTATCTTGGTGGATGGAGGTAGTACTCACAACTTCATTCAATCTAGTATTCCAGCCAAATTGGGCCTTCCACAAAGCCAACTCCAACCTTGAGAGTTATGGTAGGGAGTGGTCAAGAGTTGAAATGCACTAACGTTTGCGTGGGGGTGAAATTGTTAATTCAGGGTAATTGGTTTACCAAAGACCTTTACATTTTGATCTTACAAGGAGCTGACATGGTCTTGGGAGCCCAATGGCTTAAACAATTAGGGCCGGTGCTAATGGATTATCAGACCCTCACCATGAAATTCATACATCAAGGTTTGAGTGTGGAGTTACAAGGAGAGACTAGTACCTTCCCTACACCCCTCACATTTCATCAATTACAAAGAGTGACAAAAGGCAATTGTGAAGCACAATTCTTTTCCCTCAAAATTTATGATCCTAATTGAGAAACCCTAATCCTCCCCTCAACGCCTCACTCGGATCCTAATGTTCACAATTTGCTCCACCAATTTGACCACCTATTCTATGAACCCACCATATTACCCCCTGTAAGACTCACTGATCATCATATTAACCTTACTACTAATGTTGCCCCTGTGAACGTGCGGCCATATCACTATCCACATGTGCAGAAAACTGAGATTGAAGAACAATTTGCTAAGCTATTGGAAACAGGTTGGATTCAGCCAAGCACAAGTCCATTCTCGTCCCCGGTGTTGCTCCTTAAAAAGAAAGATGGTATCTGGCGTATGTGTATGGACTATCACGCACTCAATGCTATCATTATTCGAGATCGATTATGTTTACCAACTATTGATGAACTGCTTGATGAACTTGGTGCTGCGAGAGTATTTTCCAAGTTAGATTTAACTTTGGGATTCCATCAAATCAGAGTGGCTCCCCAAGATGTTCATAAGACAACGTTTAGGACGCATGATGGACATTACGAGTATTTTGTGATGCCATTCGGGCTCTGTAACGCCCCAGCTACTTTCCAGGCTACCATGAATGACATGTTTTGCCCATTGTTGTATAAAATGGTCATTATCTTCTTCAATGACATCTTAGTATTTAGTCTGACACTAGAGGCTCGCTTGTAACACTTGGAGCAAGTCTTTAAGATCCTATCTCATTATAGATTCCATCTGAAGGTTTCTAAATGTTCATTCTGCCAACCTCAGATATCATACTTGGGTCACATTGTTAAGGCTGGTTCTGTATCACCGGATCCGTTGAAAATCCAAGCAGTAGTGGATTGGCCTTCACCAAAAACAGTCAAAGGATTGCAAAGATTTTTAGGGTTGTCGGGGTTTTACAAAAGGTTTGTAAGGGGTATGCATCATTAGCTCTTCCTCTGGATAATCTCTTGCGAAAGGACGCCTTCAAATGGTCCAATGAAGAATAACAAGCTTTTGAATATTTGAAGAAGGCTTTGGCCACAACCCCTGTTCTCATTCTACCTGATTCCAAAGAGCCTTTTGTAGTACAAACAGATGCGTCGGGAAAAGCAATAGGGGCAGTGTTGCTTCAAGGGGATCGCCCTATTGCTTACTTTAGTAAGGTCTTTTGCCCTTGAATGACGAAAGCATCCACTTACCTAATAGAGTTTCACGTCGTGACTAGTGCTGTCAAGAGATGGAGGCAATATTTGTTGGGACATTATTTCATTATCCAAACAGATCACAAGAGCCTCAAGGAACTCCTCACCCAAGTCATCCAAACCCCTGAGCAGCAGTTCTACTTATCCAAACTTTTGGGATATCATTATGAGATTTAATACAAGCCGGGTAGGAGCAATGTGGTTGTAGATGCATTGTCTAGATCGACTGAACCAAGCAAGGCCACCATCTTTGCTATGACCATTCCGCAATTTCTGTTCCTTGAGGAGCTTAAGAAAGAGATGGAGATGAATGACGAGGTTAAGAATTTTCGGGCACAAATCCTTGGTGAACCTGACATTCACCCATGTTACACCATCAGAGAAGGGATGATTTTGTATAAGGGCAAGATATGGATCAATTCTGACTCACGGTTCAAGTTCCTTTTGATGAAGGAATTCCATGAGACGCCGATTGGGGGTCACGCGGGTGTTTTAAAGACGCTAAAGAGACTTGCAATAAATTTCAATTGGGCAGAGATGCAAAGGGATATAAAATAGTTTGTAGCCAATTATGTGGTTTTCCAACATACCAAGTATAACACAGCCAAACCTAGTAGATTGCTCCAGCGACTTCCAATTTCTGAAAATGTGTGGGAGGACATTTTGATGGATTTTTTCACCGGGTTGCCAATTTCGAATGGTTACTCTGGAATTTTGGTAGTTGTTGATCGCTTCTCAAAGGTTGTCCATTTGGGAGCACTGACAGCCCAATTTACTGCTTATAGAGTTGCGGAGGTATTCGTCAATTTGGTCTGCAAGTTACACGGTATCCCAAGGAGTATCGTATCGGATAGAGATCCGTTGTTCGTCAACAAATTCTGGGTTGACTTATTCAAATTCAGTGGCACCTTGCTTAGCATGAGTTCGTTGTATCACCCATAAACAGACGAACAAACCGAAGTCACCAACCGAACCATGGAACAAGACTTGCGTGCGTTTGTTCATGACAAGCCAAGCAACTGGTTTCGTTTTTTGTCATGGACAAAATATCACTATAACACTTCGTATCACACTTCTGCCGGTTTGACTCCTTTTCAGGTTATGTTCGGAAAAACCCCTCCATCAATTCCTTCGTACACTTTTGGGTCTTCGTTGTTGGATGCGTGTGACTGGATGTTAGGCGATAGGGAAGAAATTTTGCAAGTGCTTTGTAAGAATTTAGAGAAGGCTCAGAAACGTATGAAGCTAGTTGCCGATTGTTGTACCCCAAAATTTGCCCTCTCTTTTTCACAAGAAATCACAGCTTCGGGCTTTTCCTGATTTTTCAGATTGGCTTAAGAATCGGTCAAACAAACTTTTCTCATCAGTCAAACAGATTATTAGGGTTTTTATTAATTTGGTTGAGTTTGGCTCAGGGTTTTGATCAGGCGGACGTTTCTTTGACAGTAAATCCAGAATTAGGGTTTTCACGAGCATTCTCAGAAGATTTTGAATCCACAACATTTCATTTGACTGTCACATGGTTTTGACGCTTGTTCAAGATTCATGTTTGTTTCTCAAAGTCTAAACATCTGGGATAGAAGCCGAGGCTTCTGATTGAGAGTTTGAAGTGTTGGTTTAATCAGTGAAGTGAAAGGCGTATGGACGTTTGTTTGTTTAACTGTGCAATGCTTTTGGTTATTTGGAACGCCAGGCTTATTGTTGGTTAATACAAGGCTAGAAGACTGCGACGTTTGTTGATTATTTATAATTTCTAAGTTAAGATTATTGGGATAATTTCCAATTATTATGACTCAAGAAATTTAAATAATTAAATAAGCAATTGCAGAAGGATTAAAAGAGATATCTGACAAAAAAGATTTTTATTCATTTTCAATTGTTTTTTACAAATATTATTTGAATATTGTAAATTTATTTACAGTGTTTACAATAATGTTATTACAATGATTAAAAATAAATTAAATCTACATCCTAAGTTTCTTAAAATCTTCATCTTCTACTGTTGTTTCCCTTGCCCCAATTGATATTTACCTGCAAAGCCAGAAAAAGAGAAGTCAAACACAGATGAATTAAAAAAGGCATTTTCAGACAGTTAATCAAAAAAGTTCATCATTAAAGGATGTTGGCCGGAATCAGTTTGTTTTATTTTTTCTCGTCCTCTCTGCAAATCGCAAGAAGATTCCTCTTCTTGGTTCACAAAGAGGAAAGTAAAATTGTTTGCAAGCATGGAATTAATTAAATACAAGGCAACATATTAAACAAATGCACAAAGCTGCATAAGTGCAAACTTTCCAAGAGGCAATTCAATTAAGCAAAATGCACAAAGATGCATAAATTCAAACAAGGCAAACCAAACAGCCAAGTTACAAATACACAAGGCTGCATAGAAAGTTCACCAAGTCACAAGTGTAAACAATGCCAAACCAAGTTACAATTGTAAGCAATGGCAAACTAAGTTACAAGAAACTGTCCAAGGAAGCTGTCAAAGTTGTCAAAGAAGATACCAAAAGATATCAAAAGCTATCAAACTGTCATCAAAGAAAAGAAGAAAGTACAATATGCAGAAGAAAGCTAACATTGCAAGCAAGCTTGTAAAACCAATTTCATCATTTTCCCTAGGCCAACACCTTTTCAGAATGGAAAGTACCTTTAAGCAATATAATATGCTTTAATAGAGAGAGAAAAGAGAGAGAGAAGTAGAGGCTTACAGTTTTTTAGGCAGGCTTAGAGATAAATAAATATAACAAATCAGAATAGTTCAAGGGAGGACAGAAAAACCAGAACAGAGATCACAAAACTGTAAAACACCAAAGCCAAGCATAACACATCCTGCATCAAAGCCTCTCAAAAAACTAACAAGCCAAAAACCTGTTACAGAAACCTGCCTCAAGCCTGTAACCAAAACAAACTCAGAAACCTGTTTCAATACCAAACAAACAAAACTCCAAACTATCTCAAGCCTGCCTCAGGCTTAAAGACCTGTTACAGAAGCAAACCTTTCAAGCCTGCCTCAAGCCTAAAAACCTGTCAAACTGTAGAACATTCAAGCCTGCATCAAAAACCCTTCAAGCAAGAAAACAATAGCCTGCCCAAAGCCTAAAAACCAGTTATCAGACAATAGTAACAACAGCCTCAGAACTGGGTTCATCACAGGCAAAACCAGCCAAACCCAAGAGAGGAAAAGAAACTCAGAAGAAAGTAACTCAGAAACGATAACAACTCTCAGAAATCATCATCATTGAGAAAAAATCCAAGAGAAAAAGAAGAAGTCAGAAATGAAACAATAGCCAACAAGCAATCTCAGAATTATTATCATCATTGAAAGAGGAAGATTGTAAGGCAACATCAAAGTCATCAACATCAAAACAAAAAAGTCCATCAACATCATCAAGCAAACAATAACTATTGCAAGCATCTCAGAATCAAAGAACATCATCAAATGAACAAAGCATTCAGATAGGAAGAGAGACAGAAATGAATGAGCTAGGGTTTTCAGAAGTTTCATCAT